TGGAGGCTCCAGGCATCTGGATGCGCGGCCGGATAGTCTGCTCGACCTGAAAGAAACCCAGAGATGATCGCGTCGTACAAAAATCTGGACGGGAGGTTTTGGGTCGTTTTCGGCCTCTGGGGGCCCCCGCCGGGCCTCGGGACCGTCAAAAATCGACTCAGGAGGAGAAGCCGGTCCCGGGGGAAGGGTCGGGACTTCCAGGGGCCCCGTACTGAAAAAAATCAGGACGTCGCGTGACTGGGGAGAAGAAGGCGGAGGCAGCGGAGGAAGATCAGGAACGAGCGCCTTCGGGAGTGCTGTGGCTTCGTGAGTCTCGGGGTTCCTGGAGGGCTTTAGGGGTCCGTAGGGAGGTCGAGGAAGGGGAGGAGGAGCAGCTGCTGGACCTGATCCTTCAGCCAACCTGGAGTGGGCACGAAGGAGCCCTCCCGCGTCTCGATTACAGTAAGGATGGTGCCGAAGGCGAAGACGTCGGCAGCACCGCATGCAAAAATGACCGACAAGAAGGATCGAATTCTCATGGCGACGCCACCTGTTTTGGTGACTGAGCACGCACATACACCGAGCACGAAGGCCGCGTTCATCACGAATGCGGAAAGGAAATATATGAGCTGCATCATCGCGGCCTGTCATCATCATCCTGCTCCGCATCCTCATATTCCTCCTCCACCTACTCCTCACTAGGTTCCTCCTTGACCTCCTCCTTCGATGCCTCCCAACGGTGCACGTCAGACGTCACGCTCCACAGCTTGGTGCCAAGGCTGAAGAGCGAGAACGAGGACTTGTTCCCGTCAGGGTCGTCGGCCAGGAAATTCAGGAACCAGCCTATGAGTCCCTGCACCTCGTAGGTGCAGACAGGCAGTCCGCTGGCAACGATGAGCAGCAACAGGCTGATAATCAGCGTGCAAGTTGGCGCAAGCAGAGGACCGCCTCGGCTCTTCGAGTAACCGTCCACGCTTTCTTCGTGACGTTCATGGTTTGCCTCGTGACAATAGAGAATCACCTCGCCGAGTGCGAAGGAGAAGATGGTGGCTACCAGAAACGACACGAAGGACGGCCGAGGGTCGATGTACACCGCGACGGAGATGCCTCCGTGCATGCGCCCCTTGAGCGCCCCGAGCCCCATCAGCGTCATCAGCACGAACGCGTCAAGGAGCGACCACTTGGCGAGCGCGTTGAGGACCGACAGGATCCTGCCGCGGGCGCCCTCGCGCATCGGAAGAAGCCAGCAAACGAGGCATAACGTGAGCTTCAGGTAGGGGAAGACCACCGAGAACGTGAACAGAAGCAGCGCCAGGCCTCTCATGCCCGCGCTCCACAGGTCCCAGACGGACTTGACGACGCCGAACTCGGTCAGCCTCGCAACCTCCACGTCGCGTGCGCTCTCACTGGTCAGGAATACGGTCATCACCGCCGCGACGCCCGTGTTCGACTCAATATACAGCAGGATGCACCCCACGGCGAAGGCGGGCACGCAGAGCCGCCAGTGCGCGGGCGTGTGCGGCATGGCCGCCAGGCTATCGGGGTGCAGCAGCGCAGCCGAAGCCTGAGCAACAAGTTTCGGGCCCCTCTGATCGAACGAGAATAACGCTGCAGCAGCAGCGAACGCAAGGGCCGCGGCGAGTGCCCAGCCCACCGCCTGCATGAAGCCCTGCTTGCGGGGGCACTCGCCCAGGTCCTGGCCCAAAGACCTGGCGAGACCGCCGATTCCGTCCTTCGAGTTCACGTACCCACTGATGAACTCGAACGTCTTGGCTGACAAGAAATTGTCGATCTTGTCGCCAGAGTTGCGTATCCCCGTCACGATGAGATTATCAGCGATCTCCCGGAGTCCCTTGACGAGCTTCTCCGTCGCCTGCTGGTCCTCGTCAGGGCTGATGTACAATCCAATGCTTTCGAGGCCCACATGTGGTCTAAAATCATTCAGCCGGAAATCAGTGATAACACTGTCCGCACACGCCAGGGAAGCCTGCTGATCAGGCGCCAGATTCCTGTACTCGGCTGCATCCGCCTGAACGAGGAAGGCGCCGCTTGCTCCAATAGTATTGAACACGAGATCCACACTGGCATGTTTCCTGATATCACAAAGAGCATTGTATGCATCAGACTTCACTACGATGTCACCAAATAGTTTAAAGCTCAACGGGGCGACGGCCAAGTCGAACCCGACGACCTGATGATCCGACTCGTCGAGCCGTGGAAGCTTCACAGTTGGAATCGTGAAATCGATGATCCTAATCTCCAAGTTCTCTATGGTCAAATTGAATTGGTTGCCATCGGTGGTGTCAAAGGTGCGATTGAACAGGTCTGTGACTTCCTGCGGGACCTCCATGCTGCAGCCATGAGACTTGGAACCGAGCAGGCAGTGGCCAGCAGGAGTACTCAAACCTTCAAGGAAAGGCTCCAGCGCTCCTTTGATGCTGAATCGATTCGTGTGGGCATGCTCGTTGAATGTGGCCATCCACTGCAGAATCCTCGACTCGTGCCAGTCGTAAGGATCGTCCAGCTCCCTCCGAGAGGGGCTGACCAGGCCAAGCTTGGTCTGCAGGGCCGCGTCGACCATCTTCTGAAGGTGCTCCGAGAACTCGTACGCCCCGCAGACCTGCTGCTGGAACATCTTCTCCACGGCCGCCTCGAGCGCCTGGCGCACCTTCATGTCGACGATGCCCCCGAGCCCGAAGTAGTCGGCGGTGTGCCAGGTCTTCCGCTCCAGGTGCTCCACCGTCACCTCCCCCCGAGGGGGGAGCCCTGGCAGCCCTCACCCCTCTCGCTACCGCTCACCCCTCTTTCCCCTCGCTCCCCCCCTCCCTCTCGCTGCCTCGGGCCTTCTTGGCTGCGCGCACAGGAGAGGGGTAGGGGGGAGGGCGGACGGCTTCGTAGGGGGAGGCTGCGTGTTAGAAGGCGCGGGCCTTACATATACAGACGAGGCCCGCGCCTTCTAAGAAGCAGGGGTGCTTCCAAGAAGCCTTCCCCCCTTCCAATACCCCTCTCTGCGTGTGGCTCCCTCGCACCCCTCCTCTCATCATCTGCTGCCCGCCTCCGGAACGGCCCAGCAATTCCTGAAGTCCACGGCGTACGGCGGCCTCAGATCCATGGACATCACCGCGGGAATGGGGAGAGAGTGAGGTGGGTGAGTGGGAGGCAGCAGTGGGAGAAAGGAGGTAAGGGGAGGAGGGGGGAGGAGATCCACGAGGATCAGCATGAGAGTGAGGTCGGGACAACGGCGACTGCGACGAGGGGGTCGCCGTGTGAAACCTCCCCTGCAGCACGCCCTTGATCGACGCGATCTCCCAGGACTGGCCGGCCGCCACGGCCTGGAGGAGGCAGGAGGTGGAGGAATATCATGACGAGGGGGGGGAACGAGGAGTAACACGGGTTCATGCCATCGCTCGGACGTCCATTCCCTGTGCGTTGTTCGGTGTCGTGTGCTTGTTTTTTGCCAGATAATCCAGGATGCTCCTCGATGGTCCTCGCCGAGAAAAAAAAGTACGCACACCTCCGAGCGATACCAAAGGCTCTAGGGGTGGAACGAGGAAGAACTTTGGCCTTGAGGTAGGCCACGTGGAAATCCGCGTGCACGTTGCTGACCTGCAGGCCGAACTGGCTGTCGTCGGCCTCCAGCGGGGACACCTTGAGGTCGGGTACCTTTGCTGGCGGACCGGCCCTCCCCGCCCCGTTCCCCTTCCGAGAATCCTCTCTCTCTCTCTCTCTCTTTCTGCCTGTGTCTCCCCCCCTCGCCCTCCTCCCATACTTCGTCCCCATCCCCAGGCACCTCGAAATCCCATATGTGGACACCCTGGAGCTCGACCTGACTCGCAGCGTCCCGAAAGTCGTCCACGGAGAAGTTGAGCGACTGGATGAGGCCCGAGACGTCCCTCAGGGTCCCACCAGCGGCGGCTCCCAGGACAATCTTCTCCTGCACCTGCACGTGGTCGCAGCCGTGCAGGCTCAGGGCCAGCACGCCGAACAACGCTACGAGCGACGCGCCTCCGGGAGGAGGAGTAGGGGGGGGGAGGAGGATGAGAAGGAGTTTGAGGAGGAGGAGGAGGATTGAAAGGAGGAGGTGGAGGAGAAGAGCAACATCGATAATCGAGATGGGAAGGCGAGGGCTGGGACGACGCCGACCGACAGCGACGACGAGGACGAGCGCCTCCGTATTCCCGACTGGCCATCGCCCCCGCAGCCGCGCCGGCCCCGCCTGGGCCAGCATGCCTGCACACAGCACGCGCGGTGCAGCCAGGCAGCCTTCCTGTCCTGTCCGGTTCCACCTCTGGTCGGACCCGCATGAGGAGGAGGAGGAGGAGGAGGAGGAGGAGGAGGAAGAGGAGGAGGAGGAGGAGGAGGAGGAGGAAAGAGGAGGAGGAGGAGGAGGAGAAGGAGGAGGAGGAGGAGGGAGGAGGAGGAGGAGGAGGAGGAGGATGGTTGCGCGCCTCGATTTGAGGGGGTAGCAGGGGCTGACGCTGGATCCTCATTTAGGCGTCTGAGACCGAGGGCGCTCCCCCCCTTTTGCGCCCGCCCCTTTCCCCCTCTCACCGAGCTCCAGACGTGTTGGCTTCCACGAGCCCCATCAGCAGCAGACGCAGCGGGCAGCAGCGCGCTGAGGATGAGCGGGAAACTAGGAAAGGGGATGGCAAACACATGAGAAAAACACTGGCAATGACGGGAGAGGGGAGAGGAGTAGGAACCGACATGATGCAGCGGACGCACACTATGAGGATAGCGAGGAGGACGATGGCCCTCGTGGAGAGGCGTCCCGTAGGCTGACTGCCCACACCTTCACATGCAACCACCGGCGAACATGCATACCTGGACCCACGGTGGGGGGCGACACGAGCTACTGAGAGGGAGCAACGAAGGCATCAAGAGCAGTAAATATTAGACATGCTTATCTATGATCCCGGGCTCCGGGCCCACGGGCCCCCCCCCCTCCCCCCCCAGATGGTATGGTCCCAGGACTCCTCGGGCCCCCCCCCCAGATGGTATGGTCCCAGAGACGACGACGACGACGGCGACGACGGCGACGACTACGACGACGGCGACGACGACGACGACCACGACGACGACGAGGACGACGAGGACGAGGAGGACGACGAGGACGACGACGACGACAACGACGACGACGACGATCACCTCTGAACCACCACAGCACCACACCACATCCACAGGGGGGGAGGGAGGGGGGCACCGCAGCGCAGCACCACGCCACGCCCACCTCTGAACCACCACAGCACCACACCACATCCACAGGGGGGGGAGGGGGCACCGCAGCGCAGCACCACGCCACGCCCACAGGGGGGGCGGGGGGGACCACGCGCGGGGGGGGGGGGGGCGGGGGCCCATGCAATCAGCATTGGGGGCGGGGGGGGGGGGGGCCAAGCCTGGACCATCTATGGCCGATTTCAGCAACCCTGTAACCAGAAACGCTGTCATCTCTTGGGAGGCGTTGTTTTTACTTCCGACACCTTCCGCCGCCCTTCCGCAGGCTTCCGCCCGCGGAGGCGGCCTCGATTTACTTCCGCCGCCCTTCCGCGGAGGAAGAGATGCGAACTCCTTCGATCCTCGAAGGCAAGGCCCTTGTTGAAACCCACCATAGGTGTATCCGCCACCGTGCCCTAGCAATGAATGGAGTGTGCTCAGGTCCCTTGGAACTCTTCGCCCTCAGTCCTGGGTGGACGAGTCTAGAAACCACTTTTTGCGTCGGCGGCTAGGCAGGGCAACTAAGCTGGCGCATGAGCAATCACAACGAGGATGCCGTTGAAGCGAATTGTGCCACCATGCCGGAACATGGAAGGGGAAAGGGAGGGCGGCCGAAGGGAAAGAGAGCGAATTTCGAAAACACGCATTCGCACTTCCCGGATCTGCCGCTGCGTCTGGCGGCTTCCCCCATGTCGGGAGCGGCCAAGAGGGGGTTGTCCAAGAGGGGGGGGTGCAAATCATGACCGGGGGCATGTGCGCGGCCCAGCGGGGGGGCCAGGGACGTAATGAAATAAGACGGGGCGCCACGAAAACTGGGGAAATATCAGGGGCCCCCGCCATGATATCCACCTCCCCTAGTCATCACCCCCCTCTTTGCCGCCCCCGACCATGTCTTCTCGGGAGCGAAGGTGACCTCAACCCGGGCCAAGAGAACCCAAGAGGTCCCCCAGACGGTTCAGGAGGGCCCCGAGTCGCCTGAAGATCGCTCCAAGACGCCGCCCGAGCTGGCCTCCAGACTTCCCGAGCGTCTCCCAAGGCCTTCCTCGACGGCTCTAAGAGGCCTTCCACTTGTGGTCAGGTATTGAAGGACTCTTGCATTCTCACATGTTCAAGCTTTCGAGGCTCGTCGACAGGCAAGGTCGGACCTACGATCGCTCCAAGTTGTTCAAGAGGCCCCCAAGACGGCCCAAGAAACCCCACCAGGGCCAAAAGAGGGGTCCCAGAGGGGGGGCACAAACCTACACTCTGAACCCTCCGCCCCAAGACGACCTCCGCGACCGCTGGCAGGCCCCCTAAGAAGTTCCTCATAATCTCCAGGAGCATAACAAGAGGCCCAAAGCAAGCCTCCCAAAGTCCTCCCCAAACGGCGCCGACGACATCCCAAGCACGCCTCCAAGGGGCCTCCGAGAGGCCTCCCACAAAGGTCCCTACGGGCATCCACACAGCCTCTGACATACAGCCATGGCGCGGCGGCGGGATGGGCCGAAGGCCGAGAACAAAGCCGCAGCGTCGTGCGCGCTGCGCCGCCCTTGGACGGTTCGACGGGAGTTGCACTTGCTTCGGCCTGCGGCGCTCCCCCGCTTCCATTCCAAACCCTCCTCCCGTCATGCCCCTACGCCCCCATCCTCAATGTTCTTGCATGTTGCGTCACACTCGATCCTCACTCCGCCAATGCTGCCTCCCCCATCCTTGGATTCCCGCCCCCATTCTCAAGCATCCATCCTCGGTCATCAACGTCCCGTCCATCCATCGTCGTCCGTCCTCCGTCCTCACTCCACCGGCTTCCACCATCCGTCATAACCCCCATCTATCCTGGCTCTTGCATCCCCCACCTTTTCCTACGCGGAGATGCAGCCACAGATCCGAGGCGAAACGTGTCGCGATCTGCCTGCCAGTGGGCTCCAAGGCTGGCGCCGCCGCCTGCTACAGCGAGGGCCTGGGCACCAGCACCTTGACGCCGATGCGGTCCCCGACAGCACAGCGGAGGCAGGCGCTGTCTGCCGATGCGCGGCAGGCGGGGCGCCGATGCCCCCCCCCCTCCAGAGGGGCTGCACCGATTGCGCTACCCTTCGGAGCGCACAAGAAGTCAGGAAGCCCCCATGTTGGCCGCGGAAGGAGGAGGAGGAGGAGGAGGAGGAGGAGGAGGAGGAGGAGAAGGAGGAGGAGGAGGAGAAGGAGGAGGAGGAGGAGGAGGAGGAGGAGGAGGAGGAGGAGGAGGAGGAGGACGGGCGCCCGAGGGACAAAAGCCACGTGCTTCGCGTGTCGGCGGCCCCAAGGGCCACGGCATCCCTGGCAGGCAGCTGGCGTGTTGCGCCGCTCCGCGGGGCGGGAGGGAGGGGAAAGCTCGGTCGGTGGACGCGGCGTGACGTGGCGAAGCGAAGTGGCAGTGGCGGAGAAGAACTGGAGTCGCGACGCGCTGAGCAAACCTTCCACACCTCGGTGATTAGCACGCGAAGGACCCCCACCTCTTGAGGGCGGACCCAAGTCACGAGGCCGAACGCATTGGGGATACGGGGTCTGTTCAGCAGATGCATGGACCCAAACCGCCCAGATGTACGATCCCTAATACAGGGACGGGGACCTCAACGAGGCCACGTCTTCATTGTGCTCTTAGGATTACACGTCGCTCATTTCTAATCGCGCTCATGTCTGATTGTGCTCGTTTCTGATTGTTCCTGGCCCCCTAGTGGCCAGGAAGAGCGCCAGGATAGAACAGTCAGGAAGGAACATATCTTGCAACCCAAACAAAAAATCAAAGAACCTTCGACGAACTAGAAATTACCAATGTGCAGGGGTTCTCGCGTCTCCGATGCCGTGAGAATGGCAGGGGAGCCCAGAATCGAATCGGTAAGTCGGATCGGCAATCGAAATAAGTCGGATCGGCAAAAATCGGCAGCCGAGTCGGGAAAAATCGAATCGGCGGAAATCGGCAGGCTAGCATGCGTCCAATAAGAAATCGGAGCCCAGATCGGAACCCGAAATCGAGTCGAATCGGAATCGGAATCCATCGGAGTCGAATCGAATCGAATCGGAGGATTCGAAACGAGCCCTGGAATGGGCGAGCCCCTTCCGCGCCGCGACGGCCGCCGAACCCGTGGCGACGGGGGCGCGGCCTGGCCGCCTCTGCCGCGGCGGCCAGGCCGCCGCGCTGCGCCCGGTGGGCGCGGAGGGCCACGCCCCCCCCCCCCCCACAGGGCGGAACCTCAACGGTGTATGCCTCCAGTCCGCCTCCTCCCCTCCTCCTCCTCCTCCTCCTCCTCCCCCTCCTCCCCCTCCTCCTCCTCCTCCTCCTCCTCCTCCTCCTCTCCTCCTCCTCCTCCTCCTCCTCCTCCTCCTCCTCCTCCTCCTCCTCCTCCTCCCTCCTCCTCCTCCTCCTCCTCCTCCTCCTCTCCTCCTCCTCCTCCTCCTCCTCCTGGTTCGTGTTCCCCCGTTTGCCTCCCGTCCGCCTTGGCCGTAAAACGCCCCCGCCCCCCCCCCCACCCACAGGGCGGAACATCAACGGTGTCCGGTGCTTTCGTGCTGTTTTCGTGTTCCCCCGTTTTGCCTCCAGTCCGCCTTTGCCGCAAAACTAAAGGGGCCCTGGGCCACACAAATAAATACACACGAATAAAAATCTTCCCCATATTTTCCTATATTTCCTGGGTTTTGTCTTTCCCTTCACTTCCCATATGTTCCCATATTTTCCTGGGACTCGACGATTAATTGTGTCTGTGTGTTTCTTTCCCTCCTGAAAAACGACCCCCCCCCACAGGGCTGAACCTAAACGGTGTCTGGTGCTTTCGTGCTGTTTTCGTTTTCCCCCGTTTTGATTCCCGTCCGCCTCTTGCCGCAAAGCGACATCGAAGCGCAAACGGTCTGCGTTACCCCAAAAAAAAACGAAACGCAAACGGTCCGCGAAATCGCAAAAAAAAACGCCATTCAGGTCCACGCCTGCCCCCCCCCCAGGCCCCGCGGCCAGCCCCACCTGGAAGTTGATGCGGTCGCCCAGGTGCATCGAGGGGAAGAAGTCCTGGCCTCAAGGCGCGCGGCGGCCGTCGGGCCGCGCGGCCTCTCCCGCCCTCGTGCGCCCCTCCGCCCTCCTCCGCCCGCCCTCGCCCCCCCCCCCCCCCTGGCAGCCCTGCTGCTTCTCCTCTCCGTCCTCCGCGCCCCTCCCGGCTCTCCCCTCCTCGTCCTCCTCTTCCTTCTCCGTCCTCCCTCCTCCGCGCCCCAGCGGCCCCGCCCGCGCACGGCACGGCCACGCATGCTCGAGGACCGCCGACGCAGAGGAGCGCAGATATCCCAACGCTGCCAGCTTGCACCGGCGAAACCACGAGGGCGCGCGTGGAACTGCCGGGAGCCCCCTCTTCCGCCCCCTCCTCTCCCTCGCCCTGCCACTTGTCCCACCTCCTCCTCCTCCTCCTCCTCCTCCTCCTCCTCCTCCTCCTCCTCCTCCTCCCCCCTCCCCCTCCCCCTCCTCCTCCTCCCCCTCCTCCTGCTGCACGAGCGCGGGCGAAAGTACGGCGACAGGAAGGACATGCGCAGGCCAAGAGCGGCTACAACGCCGGCCACGGCTCGTGCGAGACGGCTGGCAGTCAGAGAGCAGGTCCTGTCGGGGCGAGCAGGCGCCAGCCGAGATCGGCGACAACGCTGCATCAGGAAGCGGCTCGTGCGGCAAAGCAGCCAAGTGGCAGCAGGAGGCCGCAGGGCGGGCAGACAGCGGCCAAGAGCAGCCACAAAGTTCGGCGAGGCTCGTGCTGGAGAACATGCGCTGTCAGCAGGAGCTGCCATCGCGACCAGAAGCCGGCCACGATCCGCAATGCCATCTGATACGATGCTGGGTGCGGGTCGTGCACAGAAGGCAGCCAGCGGCAGCACAGACTGCCGGTGCGAGAACGTAGGCGGTGGCAGGACCACTGCTACTGCCTGAATTCTTGCTACACTACAGGGGGGACTCGCGACACAACATCCGGAAACGCCTCCGAAACAAGGGACGGCGTAAACATCAATGGGGCAAGATACAGTCAAAAACCCTAATGAGGACGCAGCTTGGCTGTACTTCTAACTTCTCGACGGCGGGGGCTGGCTGCCATTGGCTGAAGTCTTGCAACGCTACCAGGACTTGCGAAACAACACCCAGAAACGCCTCCGAACCAAGGGACGGCCTGAACATCAGTGGGGCAAGAGGCGGAGGAGGAGGAGGAGGAGGAGGAGGAGGAGGGAGGAGGGAGGAGGAGGAGGAGGAGGAGGAGGAGGGAGGAGGGAGGAGGAGGAGGAGGAGGAGGAGGGAGGGGGAGGAGGAGAGGAGGAGGGAGGAGGAGAGGAGGAGGGAGGTAGGGCGGAGAGGAGTAGGAGGAGGAGGAGTGAGGAGGAGGCGGAGGAGGAGGAGGAGGGGCTTGGCCTCGGACTCGGCGCGGAGTACCGATTTTGTCGGCGCGCGAGGGCGGCACAAGAGGCAAAACGCCATCGGGCGAGGAGGCCACATTGGCAAGCCGTCACGCCCTTGACCTGGTCGCCTCGGCAGGAGCTCCTGCCCCAGAAGTTCGCTTCGCGATCGAGGGGTCGTGGGCAGACTCAATCCTCGAGGCCCCGATCCTCCTGCTCCTCCTCTTCTTTTTTTTTTTTTGGGGGGGGGGGGGGGCTCAGGGGGGCTCCAGGGGGCTTCCACGGGGCGCAGGCGAAAAGCTATCGGAAGACGGCGAGCGCCTAAGACGGCCGGCGGCGAGAAATCTATTACTGGACCCCCTCTTCCACCTCTTCCACTCCCTCCCTCCTTCGGCCAGCCGTGGTCCCTCCCCCGCCAGAGCTGGGCCGCTGGCAGCTCTTGTACTTCAGCGGGCTTTGCGTGAGGCTGGTCTCGCCCACGAGCACGTCCTCGCGTCACGGACGCGCTTCGGCAGCCCTCACCAGACTACCCTCCTGCTTCTCCTCCTCCTCCTCCACCTCCACCCTCCCCCTCATCATCCTATCTTCGGCCCCCTCCCTCATCACTTTCCACATCCCCCCTCTGGATTCTTCCCCCCCTCTCCTGCCTACTTCCCCTCGTCAGCTTCGTCCTGCTCCTTTCCGGCTCCCGATCCTCGAGCTCTCCGCCGTTCTCTCACTCATGCCTCTCTCGCCCTCCCTCGTCCGCCTCTTCATCCACCACCTCGCACCTCTGACCCACGCATCGTCGTTGTTCCGACCTCCCTCCACCCTCTCTGTCTCCTCACATGTTCCCGTCTACGCAGGGAGAAACTATGGGTGAGCGTGGGCAGGTCGTGTGTGAGCACCTGTGCCGCCGAGGCGCATACGTGGGCAACCATCGTGCCCAGAGTTTGCACGACCGAAATGGGTACGGGAAGAATGGGTGCACTGCGCAACAGACGTTCCTGTTCATTTTGAGCAGGGCTCGCTGTCCGCGCCGCCGCAGCCTGTGTCCGTTTGAGACCGGAGGCCGCCTGCCCAACAGCGGCCGCTGTTGGTTTGGGACCACACTTGTTGTTGGGCATTGTGCCCATTCTTTCCGTGCCCATTGCGGGCGTCCAGACCAGGGGGCAGCATGGCCAGGCAGCTCGGCGGTCAGAAGACACCTATTGAGGAGGAGGAGGAGGAGGAGGAGGAGGAGGAGGAGGAGGAGGAGGAGGAGAAAGAAGAAGAAGAAGAAGAAGAAGCCCAAAAGGAAGCAGGTGCTCAAACCCCTCCTCGGCCGCCTGCCCGTGCTGGGCCCACCGTGCTGGCCTGTCAGCCTTGCATGCGTGCGCGCGTGTCTGCCTCCCCCCTCGCCTGCTCGCGGGGGTGAGGCGGAAAGGACGAGGAGGAGGGGGGGGAGGGGGAGGAGGGAGGCACAGGAGGAGGAAGGAGGAGGGGAGGGAGGAGGAGGAGAGGAGGAGGAGGAAGGAGGGAAGGAGGAGGAGTAGGAGGAGGGAGGAGGGAGGAGGGAGGAGGGAGGAGGAGGAGGAGGAGGGGAGCTCCGCCCCTGCTCTTGCCGCCCCCCCTCGGCAGGTGCGAGGCCGCGCGCGCGCACGCCGTGCAGCAAGCATGGCTGCCCACAGGGGCGGCAGGACGGCGGGGGGGCCCGCCCTCTCTCTGTCCGACGCGCCCCGTGCCAGCCCTGCTTCCTGGGAGCGCCTGCCCTTCTCCTCCCCCTCCCCCCCTCCTCCTCCTCCTCCTCCCCTCCTCCTCTCCTCCTCTCCTCCTCTCCTCTCCTCTACTCCTCCTCCTCCTCCTCCTCCTCCTCCTCCCCTCCCTCCTCCTCCTCCTCTCTCCTCCTCCTCCTCCTCCTCCTCCTACCTCCTCCTCCTCCTCTCCTCCTGCTCCTCCTCCTCCCTCTTCCCCCTCCTCCTCCTCCTCCTCCTCCTCCTGCCTCCTCCTCCTCCTCCTCCTCCTCCTCCTCTCCTGCTCCTGGGATCCCCCTGCGTCTCTACCGTTCCTCCACCACTCCTGCAACGGGTCCCCCCTTTTGCTCCGTCGGTCGTCCTCCTCCTCCTCCCTCCTCTCTTCCCCCTCCTCCTCTCCTCCTCCTCCTTGCCTCCTCCTCCACCTCCTCCTCCTGCTCCTGCTCTGGGATCCCCTGCGTCTCTACCGTTCCTCCACCACTCCTGGAACGGGTCACCCCTTTGCTCACGTCGTTCGTCCTCCTCCTCCTCCTCCTCCTCCTCCTCCTCCTCCTCCTCCTCCTCCTCCTCCTCCCCCTTCTCCTCCTCCTCCCCCTTCTCTTCCTCCTCCTCCCCTCCCCCTTCTCCTCCTCCCTCCTCCTACTTCGCCGCCTGCGCCCCGCGGGCCCTCCAGGGCGGCGAAGTAGGGGTAGGCGTTGCAGACGCGGAGGCGGTGCTGGAACGACAGGCTCCGGACGAATGACGCGTGGCTGTCGGCAGGACCTCCCCAAAGGGCCCCGGCGGGGGGGAGGGGGAAGGGGGAGGGAGGCTAAGGAGGGACATCAACAAGGACTACGGCAAGAGGACAAATAATCACAAGCAGGAAAGCGAGGGGAGAAGCTGCGAGGCGCGGGCGGGGGTGAGGAGGGCGAGGGGGAAACCGAACGATCAGGAGGGTGATAGGGGGGATACCGGAGGCTACGAGAACCGACGGCTCCTGGACGTGAGTGCAGGCACAAGGACACCCTTGACAATCATGATGAAAACCGCCCTTGGGGACAAGGTCGAGAGGTCATGATGCAAATATCTTGTAACATCAGCCCCCTGGATGCATGAGCAAAGGAATTGGAGAAGGGGGGGATAATGCGGTGATCATCCGACACGAATCCGTACAACCCCAAGCAAAACGAATGTATATGTCAGGATCCGGGTAAAGAAAGCGTTCGTACTACAACCAGCGGGTTGGACTGTAGCAAATTGGCTAAACAGAAAATGGGGGAGGAGGAGGAGGAGGAGGAGGAGGAGGAAGAGGAAATGGATGATGATGATGATAATGATGATGATGAGGAGGAGGAGGAGGAGGGGGAGGAGGAGGAGGAGGAGGAGGAGGGGGAACCGGAGGAGGAGAGGAGGAGGGAGGAGAGAAATGGGGAGGATGGGAGGCGGAGGAGGAGGAGGAGGAGGAGGAGGAGAAGGGGGAGGAGGAGAAGGGGGAGGAGGAGGAGGAGGAGGACTCCAGACCCCGTTTTCCCCTCTTCCTCCTGCCTGGGTGCCCGTCGGGCTGCTTCGACAACAGCGCGTCGGCGAACACCACCAGCAGGCCGAACGGGAGACCTCGCGGTGCGCGAGGGGGGTCGATGGGACAGGAGGAAAGAAAAGGAGGAGGAGGAGGCGGAGGATGAGGAGGATGAGAGGATAAGGAGGAGGAGGAGGAGGAGAAGGAGGAGGAGGAAGGGAAGGAAGAGGCGAAGGATGAGGATGATGAGGGGGAGGTGGGGAGGAGGATGAAGCGGAGGAGGAGGAGGAGGAGGTTCGTTTCCACCGCAACGCGCATACCACACCACATTGTTTGTCCTTGTCCAGGCGTGCTGCCAGGTGGGCATTCGCCCAATGGGAGGTGCGAGGAGAGAGACGGCTGAGTGACGCAAGATGGGCGGCATGGGGGGCGGCAACGCACTCTGGGAAAACGGTCGGTGCATCTCAGGCGCGCGAGCGACAAGAAACACAGACATCATCGCCCCATGAAGCCCGCCGACGGTCCGACGCTAGGCACAACGCCCACCCGATAGCCCATCAGCAGCAACGGCACCAGCACCGCGGAACTGCAGCAAGGGGGGGCGCGCAGGAAGGGGAGCACGCAGCACCATCAGCGACGAAGCAGCGGCAGAGAACAACGAGAGCCACAACAACCACCAGACGCACTTGCATTTCGACGTGCCTCGAGCATTACGAGGGGATCTCGCCGCTAAAGTAAAGGCGCCGCATACTTCAACGAAAGCTTCGCGCTGGCTGGGGCAGGGGGGGCAAGGGATACCCGACAGAAAGAACACCACGCTGGGAGATCAGATGCCAGGCCGTCTGGGGCCGCTTCCGTCACGGCAGCTTGCGCTCCACCGCGTGGCGACATGGATTCGAATGAAACGCGGATAAGCGGCGATGGCGGGGGCGTTGCGGAGAGCCCACCAGCAACGGGACAGGCGGGGGGCAAGGCGGGGGCGGCGGCCGAAAGAGCACGAGAGCAGGAAAAGAGGCACGACCACTGTTAATCACATAGCAAAGGGGCCTTGGCGCATTGCCCCAGGGTCGCAATGACGACGCCGCGCAAACTAAAACAAATCGTCGCGGCATCCCGCGAAAGAGGGAGTGGTGGTCGGCAGCGGGGTCCACCGACTCCCCAGGGGCCACGCCGAGACCCCCAAGACCCGCCCGAAGGCGGAGGGGCATGGGCAGCCAACGGGGCAAGGGCCAGGGGGCGGGCCAGGGAAGCCGCCGCAAGGGCCAGGAAGTGCAGCCGCGGCCAGCTGCAGCGCAGAACCATGAGCCGACAACTGAGGTCACCAGAGAACAAAGGATTCGCTGCAGGTGCGCTTTCAACGCCAGCGCTCCCGGCGCCGCCCGCGCACGAGGGGCACTTTGTCGCGGCGGCACTGCGCGGCGCCTCCATGGCGGGAGGACACGCGAGAAATGTCAAAAATAGCCGGAGGAAGCGATGTGGCAAAGCAGAAAGGAAAGGAAAGCGTGCAACTCGCACTGGGAGCTGGAGGACAGCGCGGCAGCTTGGGGTCGCGAAGCTTGGCCTCGCAGGACTACGTTTCGCAGCGGCGTCCTTCCTATGTCTCCTGGCACTGAACTTGGAATATCTTCGACAGGCTCAAGGCAGCTCAACGGCGGCTGCGGGCATGCGCCGTATGGCGGGCGCCCTTGCAGGCAGCGGCAGCAGCAAAGCCCCGATCAAACCCCCACTTCGGCCCGAAAAGCACGAGACACCGAAACCGCGAGCACTCAACGTTCACCTGTTGCTGCTGCCCATCTGGGAGAGCCAGGGCCCCTTGGATTCACATCGGAGCAAGCGATTCCAACACTGTACGCTGCATATACTGAAACACATCGCTGCCTCCCCCCACCACCACCACACACACATCACCGCGCGCCCCCGCCGCCCCGCAACGAAGGTAACGCCCGCGGCCCTCGCAGCGGAAGCGAACAAACGCGCACGCAACCCATTGAGGCGCTGGGTGAGTGCACGCGGCTCCGACGCGCTAGCCAGCACCGTGGCTGGGGCAAGGTGTCAATGTGGACTCCACCGGGCCACCGCCCTGTTCTTGCCTGAAAACGAACGAAAAAAGCTGTCTGAGGCCGAAATTCCCGCGGACACAACTGTGAAACGTGGCCTGAGTGACCTTGTGATCCAGGCCAATAGGCGCTTCCGGGATATCCGTCGCACCATCGCCTGCAACCCCAACCGTGTCAGAAGGGGCAGCAACCGTCGCCGCCCGTCAATTGTTCGAAATTATAGCGGGGCTGGCCGAAAACCGACCGTTTGAACGTGACGCGGTAGTTGCTGGCCCCACCCATGGGCATGAGATGCGAGAGCTCCAGAGACACCTCAAGCCCCCGCGCCTGCGTGGGCGCGCAATATCTGAGAGCATGCCTCGGACCAGCTGCGAGGGTGTGAAAAACGTCCCCGCGCTGATTAGCTACCTCTGGAGTCGCCCTGACGAGGCGCGCGCAATGCTGGGCAACCGCAAGTCGAGTGACAGAGGCGGATCGTCATCGGGAGGCCAATTAAAAGGGGGCGCAGGAGACGGGACCTCTGCCAGGATTGGACAAAAAACTGTTCCTCATACCACCGAGCAGGGAAACCCCCAACTTGATCCCCCGGCACCCGCCGCTCTTGGCTTCCCCCGCCAGGGGCCCCCGTGCGCGACGTTTGCAGATCCTCAATGGAGAGAGAGAGAGAGAGAGAGGGAACAAACAAGAGAGAGAGAGAGAGAGAGAGAAAGAGAGAGACAGAGAGAGAGAGAGAGCGAGAAAAAAAACAATAACAGAAATGAAAGAGAGAGAGAGAGAGAAATAGAGGAACAATAAAGAAAGAGAGAGAGAGAGAGAGAGAAAGAGGGAGGGATATATATATATATAGTGAGAGAGAAATAACAAAAACACACACATATAACATAAAATAAAAAAAGACACAAACATACATAAATAACCAACGAAACAACACATGAAGCAGCTGCGACCGAGCCCAAGAAGAATTGGCTGAGGGTCCGCGGGGAAATTTGGGAAACCGCAGCAACAATCTCCGGCGCAGGCAGGCTCGGGATCGAGACGCAAAGCCCTCGGAAATTTGATCAACCGAATGACTGGGTCCAACGCGCACGCAAATCGCGCCATCGACGCAGAGTCGCCCCGTCTAGCGCCCCACTCAACTGGGCGATGCCCTTGGCCCCCTCCTGTCGGCCGGGCAGCCGCCATTCGGGAGAAACGCAGCGCGGCTGCTGCTGCGGCCAGGCGGGGACATTCACTTCCGCTGTCATGCGCCTGCTCATGCACCGAGAAGAGAGCCCCCAAGGCTTCGGGGGCAGCCAGGCAGCCGCGCGGGACAACGTCGGCCGCGGAGGCCGAAATACCTCTGGCCACAGACCCATCCCCTCCAAAGCTCCTCTTAGCCGAGACGCCATCGCGGAACAAACTGAGGTCGGTCGATCCTCCGCGCGCGTCCGGGGATGGGCGCCCAGAGCCGATCGTCGCAAGGCGAATGAACAACGACTTTCGGCCAGCGCGACAACGGCCATCAATCGTTGCCCCGCCGGGTCGGGGATGGCGCGCGGCGGGCCGTCTCCATCCAGGCCGCCCCGAGGCCCAGCGCGCCGCCTGACAGGGGCCCACGATCTCCTCAGAGCCGCCAGCCTCTTCTGACCCCCCCTCTTCTGACCCCCCCTCCTAAGAGCCTCCACAGCGCCCCGCACCCCCTCGCCCCGCGGGAGCCTCGCTGAAACGATCAGAGCGCGGGGCCCGCCGGGGTCGCCGCGACGCCCGCGGTGGGCACCGCGTCGAGGCCAGAGCAGAAGCGGAAGAGGCGGATGGCCAGATGCCACTGCTGCCTTCTCCGAAAGTGGCGCGCCACGAAACAAAAATGCCATCCATCAGCGTTGCTCGAGGCCTGCCGACGCCGACGCACCCCCCCCAACTCCGCCGCGACAGTCCCGAACGGCACCTTCGCCCGTTGCAACTTGACGGATGGGCCCGCTGGGGGGCGTTCGCTGGCCCGCTTGGGGGTCGATGATGGCGCCGGCAACCGCTGCCAGGGCGCGGCCCAGAAGGGGCCCGAGGATCAGCGAGGGAAACGATCGCATGGACGGCGACCTTCGCGATGTCAATGATACTTGCAAACGGGTCCACGCATGCTCTGCCCAGTCGAACGAAGACTCTGACGGCCCCGCCGGCAAGCTGGGCCAGGCTGGAAGGCGTCGCGCTGATGTCGGACACCAGGCCCACATTCCCCGTCGTTCAGAAGCCCCCGATCCTCCACAAGAGCGCAAATCAAGTCATCAGCCGCGACACTCACGCGGTGAGAAACGGGAGAGACAGGCGCAACGCTCTTCTGACGGTAGCGGTCACACAAACCAACTCAGTCACGAGTGCTGGGCGCAAACCAACTCAGTCTCAGTCAACAAATGGCGCCGTCCGCCGCAATCACGGGGGCAGATTCTTTGATATACTTTGTACTTCGCCAAGGACCCCACAATGGGGGATTGCATTCCGACGCGCCACCTGAAGCAATGCTCACGCAGCTACCTGAAGGCTGGGGCCCTGTTGGAATTTCAGAGCAGACGGACCTGTGCTACAGCAATCGGGTTCCATCTCACGTGTACTGTTGTCGTGCTGGCCCAGGAGACGCATCTCACCGAGTCGCATCAGAACGCACAGTGCATGCTGCGCTCCACTTCAACGCCCTCCGCACTAATGAAGCATGGGTCACAACCAACCGTTGAACCATCGCCTACGACCCATACCTCAACGATTCGTGCCAGGATGAAACCGATCTGCAAAATCTATGCAATAGTCCCGGACACCGTCGAACCGTCTTTATCAGGCCCACACAGATTCGCAACAACCTGTCTTAGATATCCCAACCAGTCGAAACTTTGCCTGGTTGTCGGTGAGGGGTGCCGCGCCGGACACGGGCCTCGAGCTTTGGTCCACCTTCAGGGTGGGTAGTCAAAAAAAAACCTTGTAGTCAATTTCGAATGAAAGGGCGAAGCTTGTAAAGAGCTGCGAAGTCGACAAACACTTTCCGACTGTAAGTGCAAGCTTTGACACGGATGCAAAAGGATCCGCAGCAGGGGGGCAGTTCACGAGGATGGGGTTCACAAGAAGGCGCAAGGCCATATCCATCAGGGACCTCTTGACTCCAGGGCCACCAGACGGGAGGGACTACCATCATCACCGAACTCAGCAAAGTGCCGAACATGCCGAAAGAAACTGTCACCAGTCGTCGGGGTCGCCGTCCATGCCACGCTTCTCTCTTGCAGCAGCGCCTGCTCCGGGAAGGCTCGCACTTGGGAGAGATTATCTGCTGCCTGCTCGGTTGGTGCAACATGAGCTTTCTGTAAGGTCAGAATGAAAGGGGCCCACCCGCGCCCGCCCTCCCACTGTTATCCCCAAGTGCGGGGTGCAACTCAAGGGGCCCAAGGACACACAACTAAATACACACACATGAAACGATGTTCCATATTTCCCCATATTTTCTGGATTTTTTTCTTCCCGCCCAATTCCCATATTTTCATATATTTTCCTTGCGATCGACTATTAATTGTGTCTGTGTGTTTTTTTCTCTCCTGAGCAACGGCTAAGCAGATCTTCAGCTCGGACGGTCTGTCCCTGGATGCCCGACATCTGCACGTTCACCTCCGACACGCCACGATCGAACTGACTAGCCAAAGTACCAGCACACGAAACGAGCGACGGGATACTCTGTAAGAACGGTTTTTTGAAGGCAGATCTGCCTTCATTTTTTTTTTGTTGAAGGCAGATCTGCCTTCAAAAAACCGTTCTTACAGAGTAAACCATTTTTTGAAGGCAGATCTGCCTTCAAAAAACCGTTCTTACAGAGTAGACTCGCCCGCGCCTCGAGCATGTCTGTACGTGGGGGCGCCGGGCTGGCAACGGCGGTGCCCTCCTGAGTGGCACTGCGTGCAGTGCCCGCGCGGGAATAGAGGCATCCAAGATAGTGTCGGAGCACATGGGGCCGGAACATCGTTCCACATTAACGATGCATCGCCGAAGCATTGACGATGTACCCGCGACGCCGGCGATGCATCGGCGACGCCGGCGTTGAGAAAATCGAGCTCCACATCGACCCGCATCGCCGATGCATCGGCGATGCGTCGAGATCCTTCGACCCCATGTACTCCGACCCCATCTAGGCCCGACCAGCCATAACTGGGGGAGCTGTGGTCCTTACCCCCCTGGGGGGACCCAGCGCACCGACGATCTCTCGAGAGGGGCGTCGAAACCGATGGGTCCCCCAGAGGGGGCAAGGACCGCAGCTCCCCCAGTTGTGGCTGGCCTGTAGGATGGCAACGAGGAACGCGGGGCCCTGCCCGAGGCGGCCAGGCGCCGCCCGTGTGAACCTGGGAGGGTGTCAAGACGACGCTGTCCTGGGATTGTCCGGCGTGCGGGACTTCGGAACTTGCGTGCTGCGGGTGGCCCCGGTAGTGCCACCGGGTCCGCCACGGCCGCGGGTGGTAGGAGCAGGAGGAGGAGGAGGAGGAGGAGGAGAGGAGGAGGAGGAGGAGGAGGGCCACGGCGTGGCTGGGCGCATGGCTTCCATGGCAGGATGGGGGGGCGGCCGCCGCGAGCCGGGCGAGGGCGGCCGGCGAGGGCCACGGGGGCGCGGCCACGGCGCGCCCTCGGCGCGTGGCCCCTTGCTTGCCTCGGGAGGGGGAGAGGAAAGTCAGGAACAGGCCTCCTCCTCCTCCTCCTCCTCCTCCTCCTCCTTTTCCTCTTCCTCCTCCTCCCCCTCCTCCTCCTGAGCAGAACGGGCATGGCTGAAGGAAGAGGATATAGACGGAGAGGGAGGAAAATCCCAGCGGAGGGTGGAGGTGCAGGGGCGGGGGAGAAAGTAGGAAAGGGAGGGGGGGGGGGGGGGGGGGGGGGGGGGGGAAGGGAAGAAAGGGAGGTCGGGAGGCGGATGACAACAGACAGGAGGACGGGGGAAACGCGAGGGGACGGGGGAAGGGAAAGGGGCAAGGGAGGCGCGAGGAGAGCAGGGGACGGGGTGAGGGGGGGCAGGGGGGCGAGGGATCATACAAGAGCGGGGGCAATGCTTTCAATCGTATGCGCGAGTTCCGCCACTCTGCGCCAGAGTACTTGCGTTTCCGTTGGCGTCCCCACGCTTCCTCATCCTCTTCCTCATCCTCCCTCCTCCTCTTCCTCCCTTTTCTTCCTTCCCCCTCCTCACCCATCCTCCAAAACCCTCAGCCCCTTACTCCTCCCGCTTTGAAATTCAAGATCCCGTTTCCTCCCGTTTTTCCTCCTCCCTCCTCCGCGACAATGGGGGGAAAGGGAGGCGGTTCAAACACCTCACCAAAACAACGCAAGCGCCGCGGGCAGAAGAGGGGGGGAGGCGACGACGGGATGACGAGGAGCAGCGTCGGCAGGACAAGGATCAAAAGGAGGACGACGAGCAACACCAGGAAGAGGAGACCAGGGATAGCGAACAGGAGGAGGAGGATGAGGAGGAGAAGGACGACCACGAGGACGAAGAGGCTGAGGAGAACGCGGGCCAGGATATAAACATCGCTGAAGCGTGGAGGAATGCCAAGGGTTGCCTGGTAGGTCTCCGGGGACTCTGCGAAGGCCGCTTCCCTCTTGACAGCCCTGGTTACCTGAATGCCCCACCCTTCACGGCAGTCCCTGCGCGGCCAGACGCTCCCCTAAAGTCTGTGAACCGTTGGAAACAAACCGTCGCATTCTCGGATGTGTCCGCTTGCGCGCATGACACGTCCAAAACAAACCCAAGCAGTCCCATCGCGATGCGCACGCAAAACGGCCCAAAAGAGCCCCGAGGTGGCACGAAGCCCCCGGCGCCGAGCACACCCGCGCGTCTCACACGGCCTCACGGCGACAAGAAACCCAAAGCGGAGCACGCGCATGCTTCGCGTGGTCCCCGCATGCTCCAGAGCCCTGCGCGCCGAGCGCGACCGCGCGTTTCACCAAATCTCTCAAAAAAAAAAAAAAACAAGCGACGAGCGCATCCGTGCATCTCACCCGGTGCCACAACGCCACAAAATCGTCGACGCCGAGCGCATCCGCGTGCTTCATATATGGTCCCGGGATGCCCCGAAACCCTCGGCGCCGAGCGCATCCGCGCGCCCCACGGGGCCCCACGGCGCCGCGAAAACCTCGGTCCCGAACACATCCGCGCGTCTCACAGGGTGTCAAAGTGCCGCGAAACCCTCGGCGCCGAGCAAATCCGCGCGTTTGGCGCGGTCTCGAAGTGCCACGAAACCCTCGGCAGCCCGCGAACACAGAGAAAAGTTGAATGCACGGCGCGCGCACGGCACGTCGCGATGGCGGTGCTTTTTCCTCGTTCGAAACATGACCTCGCAAATTGCTCTCACTGCACATTGTCTTGCGTGCCGTGTCTGCATCTCGCACCTCCCGTAGCGGCGTGCTTGGCGCCGCGCCATGCGAGCGGGCTCGTGAGAAACAAGAACTCGCAACTTGCTACCACCACGTATTGTCTTGTGTGCGTTGCCTACTTCCCGCACATCCCATAGCGGCAAGCTTTGCACCACGCCAGGCGAGCGGGCATGCAGCGATACGGCGGGAGCACCATGCCGACGTGAACGCACAACCACGCAATAACGCAAGGACGCAATAAGCAATCATTCGCACGCAGGAATTGGGAAGCCCACGGGAGCACCGTACCACTGGAACTATGGTGGCGACGCCTCAGAGAGCGCGGCAGCGACGCGAGCGCGGGATGCTCTCCCAATCCGTCACTCTCGAACTATAACACAAACCAACAATGCCCATCGACGTGGTGTTGAGACGCTGGAGGCAGACAGTACCACTCGCACCCTGATGAAGACGCCGTCAAAAAAGCGGTCCCAATGCGAGCGTGGACTCCGTTTTCAAACAATTGTTCTCGGACTGCCGGGCTCTCGGGGAATGCCTCCCAGGGCAGCAAGATGACCCAGCATTGTCCCAATAATTATCCGACAACCCCAAGCAGTATTCCAAGAAGCGCTATATGAGCTGCAAGGGGCAGCCAATATTTCTCAGAAACTGATAAAGAGCCCCCCATCAAAAAAAGCTCGACTGATTCATAACCCTGGGCCGGTAGGTTTATGAAACTAATACATGTCCCACAGCACCCAACTGAAGATGGTTCCCAGAGGGCATCGGAGAAGCCAAAGATATGCCAAAAGCGTAGGCGAATGCATCCGGAAGACAGCCGAGGACAGCCCAAAGAAAGCCCCACGACGGCCCAAGAGGCGCCTAGGAGGACCCCAAGTCTGGCCAAGACAGTCCCAGGAGGCTCTCGAGAGACTCCCAAGACGGCTGACAGAGGCCAAGATGGTCGAACACAGCACCGATACGGCAGAAGAAGGCCCCCAAAGGGCCCCTTTTTCTGGAACCCAGTGCAGAAAACAGGGCTAGGATCTGGATAAATCGCTCCAGAGCGTTCCAGAGCGCTCTCAGAGCGTTCCGGAACGCTCTGGAGCGGCCGCGGCGCCCAACACATCCTCCAAACCCGCCGATTCTCAGAGATTTCGAGTTATCCCGATCCGATTTTGTCCCGATCTTCGGGTCGTTTTAGTAGGGCGCAAACAAACCTACCTCGCTTTTGACCACCCTCGCTTCCAAGAGATACCAAGCGATGCCAAACTACGGCATGTACTGGTCAGGCCGCTTGACGAGGAGGAGCGCGGGATGACTTGGTTTTGCCTGGAAGCGAAAGCGGGGTAGGTAATTCACGCTCTGATTTAGTGCAGTCCCAAGACGGTCCAGACAGCCCCGAATGGGAGCCCCTCAAGAGACAGAGACCAGCGGTGCAACATGCTGCGGCTTCCGGTGCTCGGCGCGTCGCCCGCAGGAGCGCTGCGCTGGGACAGCGGCGGGGCCTGCCCTATGAAGGGGCCCCAGGACACACACAAATTAATACACACAAATAAAATGATGCCCCATATTTTCCCATATTTTTTGAATTTTTGTCTTCCCCCCCACTTCCCATATTTTCCCATATTTTCCTGGGTGTGGACGATTACTCCAGACTTCGTAATAAAAGAGAGGGGGTCTGGTCCCTCCAAGACAAGCCATTTCAGACCCCCCCTCGTGGGAGAACCCTCCAAAACATCGCCCCCAGACCACCCCAGGCCCTCCAAGATAGCTTGGAAAAGACCCCCCCCCCGAAATGAGACCCCCCTCCCTTTATTACGAAATCTGGAGTAATTGTGTCTGTGTTTTTTTTTCCCTCCTGACCCTAGACAGGTGGATTGGCAGGAGGATAGGGGGGAGGACAAACATGAACCTGAGGGGGGTATGGAGGAGGAGGAGGAGGCGAGAGCGAGTGGAGGAGTAGGAATGCACGCGCGGGTGGCGACAGCGACCTGGATGTCTTCCCATGGCTTCAGTGGCTGGAGGCGTCCAATGGGACGGCCTCCCGGGGGGCACCGTCGCCGCCTCGGCGTCGTCGTCATCGTCGTCCGCCTCCTGCTGCTCGGGGAACCCAATATTGTTTGAGACAAGTGTCCACCCCAACCAGACTTCTCGACCACTTCTGCCGGGGCCGGCTGAACTTCCTGAGACGTCTTTTCTGGCCAAGGCCAAAAACCAATCTACAAAAACACATGACGTCGGAACGTTTGCCGTCTCGATTTCGTCGAGGCAAGGAAGATGTCACCTCAACATTTAACGAACCAAAGAACGCTGGGCATATACCTCTAACCATAAGGCAAAGGGGAACGAAGCCACACACCACAACATTCCAGGCACCAGAAGAAAGGAGACATGGCGCTCGAGACAGTCGCGACCATCAGGGCGACATAGGGGGACAGCCATACAGCACCGCCCATGCACATGAAGGCTAGAACGGGGATATCGCGACCTTCGATTTCATTTCCGTTCGAAAAACGTCGGACCCCTGAGTCCAAGCACTTTACAAGACAAACTGGAGGCTCCCAGCAGCAAAGGGATGACGAAATAGGCGAGGACCCAATACGATCTGCCCACAGGAACCTCCAAGAGTCCAAACAACAACCACCAGCAGCTCGCCGACATCCAGAATCACACGGGATATAACGTCACGTTCTTGCTTGCAGAGGAAGTATGATGCTGCATTTGTTCATGTTCCCAGTGTGGACCTCAAACAGCGGTTTACTGCTCTGTGTACGAAGGCGATAGTGCAAACTATATGGTCAGAGTGAGGGGGCCGACTGGTCATTCACTGTCCTTGAACGCGTGGTTCAAATGAGGATCTGCGGTGCGGATTGTTGTTGTTGTTGTTGTTGTTGATGTATTGTTTGTTGTCGTCGTCCCCCCAGCATAACGGCCCGCGACCAAGCCGCGACCCAGCCGCGACCCGGCCCTCGACCGACCCGCGACCCACCCGCGACTACCCCACGTCCCGCGCGCGACCCACCCGCGACCCGCCGGCGATCCACCCGCGACACGGCCCGCGACTCACCCGCGTCCCACCTGCGACGCACCCGCGACCCGCCCGCGACCCACCCACGATCCGGCCCACGACCCAACCACGACCCAACCGCGACCCACCCGCGACCCGGCCCGCGAACTACCCGAGAAGCACCCGCGACCCATCCGCGACCCACCCGTGACCCACCCACGATCCACCCGCGACCCACCCGCGACTCGCCCGCGACCAACCCGAGACCCACCCCCCACTCCCCCTGCGACCCGCCCACCTTGCTTCGACGAGAAAATCGGCGCCTGCGGCGAGCTCTTTTCTCTGAACTTAGGCGCCTGCGGAGGGCTTCTTCAGAGCCTCGCAGACTGCCGACGTCCCGCTGCACCCTCACTCGTATCCGCAACTGCGGGATGCTACGTACAAGGCCATGTGGCAGCAAACAAACAATATGTGCGGTGCAGTCGATGTGGTAAACGCTATACGGTGGAAGCCACACCGTGTACTTACACTAGATGGTGTAGCTATGCGGTGCGTCCTCTGTGGTGTAAGTTTTGCTATGTGGTGTCGACTGTGTGGTGAACCAGGTGGTGTGAGAAAAATGGTCAGTCATCCTCCAGAGGCCTCAGGACGTCTCAACACCAAGAGGGATCCGAGACGCCTCCCGAGAGACACCAAGAAGCCAATTGCAGAGGTGCCTTGTCCACAACCCCGTTTGGGGTCAAGAGTGCTCCCCTCGTAACAATTGAGATGCCTCCTCCTTTTCCTACCCTCCTATTCCTCCTCCTCCTCCACCTCCTCCTCCTCGCTCGCCACGAGCACACCAACGGATACAACAGCGGTGCAAGATGGGGAGCGGAAGGAGCGAAGCGATTAAATCAACGTAGGACTACCACCAGGAATTCAGTCGCGGCCAGCATGGCAACACCTCACCTACCCTCGAAAGGGTGGCCGCCGCCGACCCGCAGATGGACAAGTCGCGGAATCTTGCAAGGCACAAGCATACAGAACAACGACAGTTCACCACGAGTGCAGTGTTGAATGGCCGAACGCGGCGGCAGAAAACAAGGGGGCCAACTATTGGACCTGCACTGTGCTGTCTTGAAGAAGGGCCCACGGACAATTCCGTCTGCAGTTTGACTGCGAGTTTCAGGGAACGTCTCTGGAATCCCGTGGACAGTGCATCCGCCAGACCTCCTGGGGCTTCTGATGCCCAAGACACGCCCCAGGTGCCCCGAAGAGGCGCCTTGGGGACCCCCGGACGTCCACGAGAGGCCCCGTGCCAACCGCCAGACTGTTCCAATACGACCGTACCTGGCTCACCCGGGGGGCAGCGGCATAGGGCGCAACGTTATTGTTTACACGTATTGTTTTTTACGTATTGTTTTTACGTGTTGTTTTTTCTCACGGTTGAAATTTATTTTCTCACGGTTAAGGGTTACCATTCCCCAGACCGCCTTCGAGGGCTAATCGCGCCCTCTTGGTCACAGAAGAAGGCGCCAGTGCCGGGACGGCCTGCCGATGGCAGCGCAGCTGCGACGTGTGTTCTTCGAGCAGACTTGAGGACACGAACCCACGCCGAAGAGCCACAACATCATGCACGGCAACAGCTGGTATACAACGCAACGTACCGCAAGGACTCTTCAGAGCCCGCGTTCGGCCGACGCGCACAGATGAACACACGGTCCCCCTGCAGAATAAAACGCTCGAATCACGAGATTTGGCGACGCTGACATGGCGGTGGTACCCTCGAGAGGCGCGGCCCGGCCACGCCAGCCAAAGTCCCCCTTGTCTCAACCTCCTTCACTGTTTTTGCTGGATGGTTTGTGTTTCTGTCTGGGTATTGTTAGTTCTTTCTCTGTTGTTCATCTTGCGCCTTACCCTCTTCTTCCTCCGTCTCATCTCCCTCCCCTCCTCGTCTTCCCTGCCATACCACCTCCCTCCCTGCCCCGCCCCCCTCTCCCTCTCATCCCTCCCACACGTGCACCCACTCTTCCATCCGCCCTCCCCCCCCTTCCGCCTTCCCTCTCTCCGCCCTCCCCGCCTCCTCTTCCTCCCCCTGCGACGGCGAGGCCAGCTGCTCCCGGACGGCCTGCCAGTACGGAGGCGCGGCGTTCGCCGGATGGTGGGCCCGCGGCGGGGGCGCGCGGCCGCGGCAGGCGCCGGGCCGAAAACTGGCAGCGAGGGCCCATCCCTCCTCCTCCTCCTCCTCCTCCTCCTCCTCCTCCTCCTCCTCCTCCTCCTCCTCCTCCTCTTCCTCGTCCTCCTCCGCCTTCTCCTCCTTCTCTCCCTCCCCCTCCTCCTCTTCCTCATAATCCTCGTTCCCCTCTTGGACCACGGAGGACGGCCGGAAGGATGTTGGGCCGTACTTCGCTCGAGGCTTCTTTCGACTGCTGGTGTCGTTCCTGAGGCTAGCCTCCTGTGTCTTCCTCTGCCGCCGCCTCCACTCCTCCTCCTCTTCCTCCTTCGCCTCCTTCTCCTTCTCCTCCGCCTCATCCTCCGTCTCCTCCTCCGCCGCCTCCTTCTCCTCCACATTCGCCTTCGTCTCCTCCTCCTCCTCCTCCTCCTCCAAGACGCCGCCTCCTTCTCCCTCGGTGCCTCCCGTACTTCTCTGCAGGGGCCGCTCTGTGCAGCGGGGCCCTGCGGAGGGACTGCCATGTCAGGCACCCAGTGGCGAAGATCCGAGTTTTTCAACGCGCCCCCACCGCATGCTGCGGAGCGGGCAAGATGTAGATCCATTGCAGCAGCACGCCATCGCTCGGACGTCCATTCCCTGTGTTTTTTGTTCGGTTTCGTGCGCGATTTGTGCGTTCGCCGAGTGATCAAGGATGCTCCTCGATGGCCCTCGCCGAAGGAAAAATGCACACGTCCGAGCGACGCCAAGACAGAGAAAAGCCCCAATCAGTGGATGGTTTCATGAGATCGATGGTGAGATCGATTAGTTGAGAGGATTAAGGAGATCGATCATGAGATCGATAATGCATCGTGGCAACGATAAAAAGATCGATAAGGGGATCAAACTGGAACCCCCAAGAACCCGGAACCCACCGAAATCGGCCCTGAACCAATGACCAGGAACCCGGGAACCCGGGAACCCAGCCGGCTACCCGGCGGGAAACTTTCGCCAAATCTTTGAATCTTCCGCTAGGACCCCTTCAGTGCAAGCACTGCTGGGGAATATCCATATCCACTGCGTCTTGCAATGTCGGGCTCCTTTCCGCAGAGCCACCGTGGATGTGGAAAACATTCTGGCGCCCAGGCACTGGAGGCTGGAATTTTATCCGCATCCACTGCGCCTCGGCCTTTTGGGGTACCTCCTCAGCAAGTCCAAGGCGCAAGGAACATGGAAATTATTCTCGCCCGCATGCGGGAAAATACATCGAAATCAGTGCTGAGATCCCCTATGTGCCCACATGTTATGCAGAACTTCCTTCTATGTTAATGTCTGAACATGAGAGAACCGGAGTGGCTGGATACGGATGGGCGAATTGGCTCTGAATGAAGGTGAGTCTTCGGACGCTCCAATTTCATGCCTCTTACACATCGATGGCAAACGGCCCTGAACAGAAACTCGACGAATTACTGGGCTAGGAACAGGAACTCGACTGGTTCCGACAATCTTGGCGCCAACGGGCTGGCGGCAGATCCCCTGGCGACTGTCCTCTGGAATGCCCAGGCGCCACACCTGTACATCGCGGTGCTCATGGGGCTGTCAAGCATCAAGAGAGACACGTGCACCCCAAAAACCCAGCCTGAGCTATCCCGACAGTCTGGGCGCGAGCAGGTCCGTATCGTTCACCTTGGTGGCTCCCCCTCTGAGCAGCTTGGGGTCCTTGTTTGGGAGCGGGTATGCGTGCGAGTGATACGTCTGACTACGTATGAGTAGGAGTTAGCCTGAGTGTGGGTGAGTACATGTGTGAGCGACTCTGCACATGAAAGACCCGAGTACGAATTCCACTACAGTCGGGCCTGGGACAGAAGCACCTCCTTCAAGAACGTGAGACCTTCGACGTCCCAAGCACACCAAACCAGAAGTTCACTCGAGGGTGCCTTCCCCCAGGATGCACAAGAACATATAACCATCACGAAAAACAGTAGTGCACCCTCCCCCAAACCGACCTCGATCTTTTACATCGGTCCGGCCGTATCAGGGGTTTTGAGTTTGAGGCTTGCAGTCTGCGTATGAGTTATCGGAATACGAATGGGTCTGAGGATGACCTGTTCCTGGTGTGGGTGGGTCTGAATGTGGGGTGGAGAAAGAGAGGTAGGAAAGATACGGAAAAAAAAGGAAGTTGGAATGTATATGAACTCCATACACTTACAAACACAAACACACACATATATATATTATGAAAGATATAAATATAACACACATCCATGCAAATATATGTACGTATATAGATATATACATATATATATACACATGGGGATCAAGCGCGGGCGAGCGCCAACACACATTGGACGGATTGCGCGCGACAGAATGTAGATTGACATCGCAAGCAGGCCCCCAAAACGGGCCCCGCCAGGCCCCATTTCCGCTCCAACGGCGCCGCGCGGGCAACCCGGTCAGGTCCTTCTGGGGGCCCCTCCCGCGGCTGGAAGCATGAGAAGGAGAAAGCGACTGCAACGCTGATGGCTTGCCCCGAACCAGCCAGCGCGCCTGCGACCCGGAAAAGAGTCTTGTGCAAAACCCACATCGCTCTGGTATAGCGGTAATGGGCTTAGAACGAAGAGGACAAGGGGGTTGGGATGAGGGTTATGTTGCTCCCATCGTACCCACATCCCAAAACCGAATGCCGAGCAGCCAGACAAATATCAAAACAGCGTCGAACGAGTATCGCCTCCCAGGGCCCGACATGTCAAAACCCTCCACATTCGGGACGTTCTTGGTGTTCGAAGTTCTCTCTGGTGAGCAAATCTGAAGTAGGTTGGAACATTACGAATGGAGGGATGACTTTGAACGAAGAGGGGGATGAGGGGCAGCAGCTGGCAACTGTGCTAAGAGGCCCTTTTCGCCTCGCGGCGCCGCTGGCGGCCGCGCTCCATTAGCCGAACTGCGCTCCATGGCGGGAAGCCACCCTCCAGCCCCGCCCGGGGGCGCCACGTCGGCGGAGACCTCTGGGTGAGCGTGGAAGGGCAGAGATGGCGAAGAAGAGGAGGAGGAGGAGGAGGAGGACGAGGATGAGGAGGAAACAGAGGGGGAAGGGGCGGTGGATCGACGAGGGGAGGGACAGGAGAAAGAGTATCGAGCTGGGGGGCAGTAAGGGCAGCGGGGGTGGCTCGAACAACTCGTGCCCGACGTGGTTCCTCGATCTTAACCTCCAGGTGCCTTTTTTGGGGGGCACTGGGGCAGTCAGAGACAAACCTTGGTCGAGAGGCCAGCTTAGGCGGGTGCTGAAGATAATGGTGCTAATCGTGAGCCTGACATTCGATGGCTTGATTTTTTCGGTGTGCGGGCCCTGCAGCTCTCGACGTCTTGCCAAGGACTTCGTCCGCGGTGGGATGTTTTGTCCTACGCGTGCTGGGGGTTGGTGGCGTCTGTGGTTCCGGATAGCGCCAGTCTCAGGATGTTTCCGGGAGGCAAAACCCATGACCGCCGAATTTACGCTGGAGGGAGCAAAGAGCAAGCCGCGTAACACTACCACGAAGCGATGCAACGATGGGGGAACAACGGGACGGACTTGGCGCGCGAGCGCCAGGGCAGGGGGCAAGGTGTAACCGAGAGAAGCAATTAAAAACTAAACCCCGCGTTACAGTTAGCACAGAAACGAACATGAATCATTCGCGGGGGTAACTTTGGCTGGAAGACACGCCCCCGCGACCTAAATTTATAGTAAGAATTAACGGTGGTAGCGCAGCAGCCGTGAGCGCCGAATGTGGCGAACTGCCAACGCCTCAAAAGCTGGCCAGTGATAGCCGGGAAAGACGGGCCGCAGAGACAAAGGACGCAGACGGTAACCCTCGGGACGTCTGTTTGTCGTTGCTGGGGTGGCAACGATGACGCTGATACCTTACAGCTCTTGTGGCGCTGGGCTACTGTAGAGTTGAACTCACTGAGAGCGGCCTGGCAACAGCCTGAAAAAACGGCTCTTCAACAACTGCTGAGTTTCATGGCGCACCCACTAAGAAGCGGCAGACTTAGCGCAGCTGAGCTCGCAGTGAGCTGGCATCGCTGCGCAGCAGGCGCGTGATCCGACGCCGCCGCTCCTGCGCGGTTCTCCCCCTCGCGCGCTTACTCCTGCTGCGATCGTCTGGGTCTGGCGCACTCGGGCGCGCTGCCCCTGGAGACAATCGTTTCCGACAGTCCCCGTGCCTGTCTTCCTCCTCCTCCTCCTCCTCCTTTTCCTCCTCCTCCGCCTACTCCTCCTCCTCCTCCTCCTCCTCCTCCTCCCGGGCGCCCTCGCGGCGGCCTCTGGAAAAATCCCGGCGCGGGGCGCGGCCGCGCCGAGGGGGGGCCGAGGACGCCGCCGCGCGCGCGGGCCCCCCCGACGGCAGCCCTGCACTGGCCTCGCCTACAAGGGCGCCCGCACGCACAGTGGGGGCGTTGACCTAAGGAACCCTAAATAAGGAACGAAGCCCCTTTTTTATTCCAAGGAATAACGCACAAGCAACGAAAACTAACAAATAACGCATAAGGAACTGTAGATAACGCATGTAAAACCTAAGGAACGGCCGAGCCCCATTTTGAAAAGTAAGTATTCCTTATTCAAGCCGCCGAACCCTAAATAAGGAGCGAGGCCCCTATTTTTCCATAAATGAACCTTCGGTTTCCTGTCGAAGACAGAAGGAAACCCGGAGGCAGGCTGCGGAACACTTAAGGAACGCGGAGCCCCTCCCCAACCAAAAGGGTTCCTTCTTCAGGGAACCGACTGCACGCACATTCGCCACACATGCAACAAGGTGACTTGAAACATTCACAACTGTGGGGGCCAGGGTTGGTTACCCAGTGTTCATAAAAAAGCTGCCGGCAGACAAAACTGCCCTCAGCCCGTAAAGGCGCAGATGTCCACATGCTAAACCCACGCCAAGCCACCGATGTCACTGCCGATCTGGGCGTCATGGTCGTGGCCGCCCTGGGGAAGGCTGTGAAGTGAACGTGCCAGAAAGTGCTCTCCTGCAGACGCATGGCCCTGATCTGATCCCCTGTTGGATGAACTCCGCAGGCTCGGGTGGCCGAGTTCATGGTGATTGCCGATGGTGCGAAGTGCACGGGGCGCCCACGCGTTGAACGAAGTTGCGCGCGTAGCGACTCGGCTCCTGAAAAGCCTGCCTGGGCGCGTACTCAGGGCCCCACTAGACATGCCAAAGCTGAATGGAT